AGAGCTGTCTACAGAACAAATAGCACCATATAAGCATCTCAACATTGTCGGTCTCGTCGGCTCCATCGACAATGATCTCACAGGAACCGATGCGACCATTGGTTGCTACTCAGCACTCGCCCGTATTTGCGAGATGGTCGATTACGTCGAAGCGACTGCCTCTTCACATTCTCGTGCTTTCGTCGTCGAAGTCATGGGCCGACATTGTGGTTGGCTGGCCCTCATGGCCGGTGTCGCAACTGGTGCAGACTTCGTCTTTATTCCCGAGAGACCTCGTGAGCATGATTGGCAGGAAGATATGAAGGTCGTTGTGCGAAGGGTAGGTCTATCAGAGAAAATAGCTCCCAATCGCAGGCACTAACGACTTACAGCATCGAGACCTTGGAAAGCGCAAGACCATTGTCATTGTCGCTGAAGGTGCCCGCGACAAGGATGGTAACAAGATCGGCGCCGAAGAAATCAAGAACATCCTAGCCGACAAGAGCGAGGGCGGTCTTGCTCTCGATACACGTATTACCACCCTCGGTCACGTCCAACGAGGCGGTACTGCCGTCGCATACGACCGAATGTTGGCTACCCTGCAGGGTGTTGAAGCCGTCAAGGCTGTCCTCGAAGCTACACCAGAGACCGAGACTCCTTTCATCGCTATTAACGAGAACAAGATTGTTCGCAAGCCTCTGATGCAAGCTGTTGCCGAGACCAAAGAGCTCGCCAAGGCTGTCGATGCCAAAGACTTCGAGAAGGCCATGTCTCTTCGTGACGCCGAGTTCGCCGACCAATGGGGCTCGTATATGTTGACCACAAACGTCATGGTTGACGATTCTAAGCTGCCTGAGAAGGATGCAAGTCTGACCCAAATCTGATTTCTTGTTCCATTGCTGATAATTGACTACTTAGCGTATGCGAATTGGCTTCATCAATGTTGGTGCCCCTGCTGGTGGCATGAACGCTGCAGTACGTGCTGCTGTTGCGTACTGTCTTTCCAAGGGCCACGAGCCTCTGGCTATTCACAACGGTTTCGCTGGATTTGCGCGACACCACGATGACAAGCCTATCGGCGCTGTCCGCCCATTCGACTGGCTCGAGGTTGACGGCTGGGCAAGCAAGGGCGGTTCCGAGATTGGTACAAACCGAGAACTTCCCGGCGAGTCTGGTATGGAGTTGATCGCCAACCTGATCGAGGAGCACCACTTTGATGCTCTATTCCTTGTTGGTGGTTTCGAGGCCTTCCACTCCGTTTCACAAATGCGCAAGGCCAGGAAGGAATACCCTTCTCTGTGCATCCCCATGGTTATTCTCCCCGCCACCATCTCCAACAACGTTCCCGGAACCGAGTATTCTCTTGGCTCAGATACCTGCTTGAACGAGCTTGTAAACTACTGTGACAAGATCAAGCAATCAGCGTCTGCTACCCGCCGTCGTGTCTTCGTTATCGAGACTCAGGGTGGTCGCTCAGGCTACATCGCTACCCTGGCTGGCCTGGATGTTGGTGCCTCCGCTGTCTACATCCCCGAGGAAGGTATCTCTCTTGAGATGCTCAACTCCGACGTTAACCACCTCAAGGAGGTTTTCAAGAAGGACAAGGGCCAGTCCCGTGCTGGACGTCTGATCCTCGTAAATGAGAAGTCCAGCAAGGTGTACAATGCTAAGCTCATTGCGGACATCATCCGAGAGGAGGCTCACGATCGGTTCGAGAGCCGAGAGAGTATCCCCGGTCACGTCCAGCAGGGTGGTGTTCCTTCTGCTATGGATCGTTGCCGAGCTGTTCGCCTGGCCATCAAGTGCATCCAACATCTTGAGGGCTTTGGACGTAACGCTCACAACCACGTTAAGAAGGACCCCAAGAGTGCCTCTGTCATTGGCATTCAAGGCTCCGAGGTCGTGTTCAACGCAATGGAGGAGCTAGAGGAGCACGGGACAGATTGGCCCAACCGAAGACCTGCGACTGCCCACTGGTTGGGTCTGTCAGAGGTAGTAGACATGTTAGCTGGCCGTCCTGATTACCCTAAGCCGGAGAAGAGCTTGACAGGGTTGATCGCAAAGGACACAAAACGTGGTCTGTAGAGGGGCGTTACTGTTTGGCTTGAAGGACATTTTCAGACTGACGTTACCTCACTTTCTCTCACCTTTATTCTTAATGATAGCTCAGTATGAATGAAATCAGTTTTAGGCGTTCAAGCAATTATCTTTGGCACGTTGGTCTTGAATGACAATCTTGGTTATATGTTCTCTTGGTATTACTCCTTCTGTAGTGCTTTCTTGAATAGTTAGCAGAAACAACCAAGGTAAGGAACACCGAATATAAATTTTCGACACATGCCGAGTCTTCATATGCCTGGAGAACTGTAATTGCTGGGCTCGATCTTAGCATCAACGGACTGATAAGGGCTTGTATTTTAGTTGAATCTATAACCCCCTAAAGCACTTCCAAAATAGTCGAAGTCGACAAGAAGTAGTTGGCAAATTCGTGTTCAAGAAGTCGTCATAGTACCCGTGCTTGAGTAAGATGCTGCCGATTGAGATACTGGATAATGAGTTGCTGTTAATAATTCTAGACGATTTATGAGATACAAGATCCTGGCTACATCCAATCTACTTTACGAATGAGACCTTATTCTTTATGTAGTTTCCTTCTATTATTGGACGGGATTATAAAGAGGAGATAAATGCAATAAAGCTCCTCTAGCTAAAATGTTTATAAAGTCAGAAATTATTAACAATTGCCAGAAAGTCCTAACAGTATTGCAAATACTTATAATTTTTTTACAAAAATAACATCTCAGATCTATTTAAAACGTCTAAGAATCAAAAATACGAATTGGAAGGCATTGGGATTGCTCCCGCCAGGGCTTGAACCTGAGACCTTCGCATTACCGGATACTCGGAATGAAGTATTAGTACGACGCTCTAACCAACTGAGCTACGGAAGCCGTCCAATTCGATGACTGTGGATTTCGTAACTGACCATATGTTCCTGAGATTCTGAGACGGATCCAGTGAGGAAGCTGCCGTCACCCAATGCTTGGCAATCAAGCCTGATGAATTAACTCTTTAGAAGAATTTGAAGTAGTACACCCTTCAATAGACGCCCAAATACTCCATTTGCTCCATCTCAAGTTTCAAGAGAACAATCTAGACGAATCCAACCCAACCCTACGTAACCCAGTCATGAACCCTGCCTGGCACGCAAACTTGCCTGGTCTGTGCAGCAGCATCTCACATGTGACGGACAGCCATGGAAGGACGGCAGATGCTCAGCATTGATGCCTCAGCGACTCCAAAGGGCTTCGGCGAGAACTGACAGCTGAGGATGGCGGCTTGTGGGGTTCGAGTTCGACGCCTCGTTGGGCTCTCAGTGCGACTTTGGAAGTTTGGTGCGATGTTTCTCAAGGATCTTCAGTAATTCTTTGAGACCCCAGTCCCAGTCCATGACGGGACCATTCGTTTTGGGATTCAATGCCCAACTGGGCGGAACAACCACTTGGACCTCCATCGCAGATCACAAGGGCAATGATTTGCATGCAATTCTGTGACAGAGATAGACTTGCAGCATTCGCAAAGCTCAGCATGATTGTTATCTCTTTCGCCAGAATTAAAATCTGTACCTTCTTTATCGACCTCGCCGAGTTGCCTCTCGAGCCTACACGTTATTCGCTGATATGGACTCGTGGCGCCGCAGGGGGGCAGTCTGAGAGCCCTGTTCTGGGCTCCCATCTCGCAATGCACTGGGGCCAAGGACCAGAAGATGCCGGGGTGAGCTGCTGCACTATTGCGTCAGTCGATCTCCACACCACAGCCATCTTTGGATGTCAAACAAACGAGCTTTTGTTCACGTCAAAGAGAGGGCAGAGCAGAGTAGAGCAAACACGAATCGATAGACATAGATTAGGCCCAACGAATGCCCCGGATCGTACAAGGCAACGGCGGTGAACTCTATAACGGGAGAATGGGACTATCGTTGATGGGGCCTTGGGCAGAGACAATTTCTGGGTTGAGTTTGTCAGGCTGGTAGGTCTCATGTCCTTTCCTGGCTGCGCTTGACCCTCCATCTGAATGCTTCGCGTGGGAGGAGGGCCCGTCTCATTGGGCCGCCATGGTAGACTCATCGTGTTTGGGGTCGTAAGGCAGGCAGACTGACTTGCTTCCGGTACTTGATGGATCATTGGACGGGGATAGGTACTGTCAGTCAGTCTGGGTATTGTGGTCATTCAATGATGTCCACACCAGGCAAGATTCCTCTGAAGTTGTCGAGTTTACGATCACCGTTTGGGCAGAGGTTCGGTCAGACTTGCTGTATACTATTCGACGAAAGTGCAGCAGGCGAAAGATCATCGTTTATGTTAGTTCTCCCGTTGCGGACCGCTGCCACCATCATCAATCTTGTACCTAACCTTGGAGCAGCAGTCCCCGCTTTGCCCGCTACAAACAGCTTACCAGGTCTTCCCATCTTGACACTGGATTGCTCAAGCAGCCCGGCCCAGCACCAGCACCTGCACTGCCCATGCCCAGCCCCTCCATTATCTAGAGTAAGGACAAGGTCACGGCTGACACCCTATTGTTGGCGGGGGGTTCCCTCTCATTATTGCTGTCGGATGACGACGTTCTGCTCTGTTTCCATGCTCCGTCCTTGGTCGTCCGGGGCCTGATTCTTGCGGCGCTTTGCGGCTTGCACGCCATCAAACCCACCTGACACTCATAAACTCTTTTTTTCCTTTCTCTTCCATTTCTCTTGGCTACTGCTTTTCTCCTCATCTCTCATCACCTCAAAAACATCGCATTCTTTTTGGGCTTGTAGTTTGCAGCTTTGCTTCTCGCCTGGCTCATAACAAGACTGAGGCTCGTCGCTGGAACCCCACCTTGTTTAAAGTGTGACGACATACCCTTTGCAACCCTTTGTCGCAACCCACAGCCTGTTGAATTGAGTTCGCGCCCTCAAAAGTGCACCGAAATCAGCATCGGTATATACACATTCACAGAAAGCAGCACTTTATTACACCAAAATGTCCCGTGTAAGGGCTACCGAGTTCGAGGAGAGGGATTATTACCCTGCTCCTCGACGTTCAGCCCCGGAGGGGCTTGATGAAGTCGACTATCGTCGTCGCACCGTTACCATCAGCCCTCCCCCACGAGAGGAATCTCGCACACCCGCCTTTTTGCGAGAAGATACTCGCCGAACAGAAGCTGGCCCCATGGTCTTGCGCCAGCGTCAAGTAGAGACCATCGACCGACACCGACCCAGAAGTCCCAGCCCAGTTCGCGTTCGAGAGGAACGCATCATTCGAAGACCCCGCAGCATTTCACCCAGCAGCCATCACTCACACGACCATGAGCATGAGCGTTCTCGCACCAGAGTTTACGAGCGAGAGCGAGTCAGAGAACCCTCTCAGCCACCTCCCAGGCGAGCTCCTTCTCCTGCCCGAGTTGTCAGATACGTTGAGCGACCAAAGTCGCCTTCTCCTCCCCCCGCCCCTCCAGTTGAGGAGCGAGAGCGCATTCGCACTCGCATCATTGAGCGCGAGAGGGCTCCTTCACCCCCTCCGGTTCCCAAGCCGTCTCCTCCGCCCCCTCCGCCCCAGACTATCCGCGGACCGACAATTGAGCGAGAGGTTATTACCCACTACCGAGATATTGACCATGGTGAGCAAACTCAAGGTCTAGCCAAATGATTCAAAACGCTAACGGTTGCAGGTATGATCAAAGCTAGACCTCCCACTCCTCCCCCCCAGCCAAAGCCTCAGCCTCGTGCTCCTTCCCGAGTCCGAGAGCGTGAGACAGATATCGACATCTCTTTGTCAAAGAACAGAACCGAAGTAGATGTCACTCGCACATCGCGCACTCGTTCTCAAAGCCAAGAACGACGATCCGACTACCGTGATGACGAGCTCGTGGTTCGACGTGAGTCCGAAACAACCCGGCGTCGAGCCCATTCAGCTGCTCCTCTGCCGACACCCAGTGCCGTGGACGAAGAAGGCGACTATCTCACCAGCAAGATCGACTCTCGTGGTCGAATGGGCGAAGCCTGGGGCGGTGCTACCAAGGACTGGACCCTCGTTGATGTTCCTCCAGGCACTGAGCGCATTCGCATGGATGGAGTCGGCGGTGGAAGTACCGAGACAAACTGGACGAGGTACAGTGGTTCCAGGAAAAGCAAATTCATCCCTGAGAGGGATGGCGCTCCTTCACCTGCTCCCGCGCCTATGCCAAAGCCCATTCTGAAAGACACGTCACCACCAGACACTCGTGATCGTGTTAATGTTTCCATTTACGATCGCGAGAGGGAAATTGATATTGAAAGAACACGAGAAACACGTTCTCGTCCCGCACCTCCACCACCAAAGGATATGTGGACTGAGATCACCAAGGACCTCGTTATTCGTGAGGCTATTGAGAGCTCTGGGTATGAATACGAGGAGACCAAGGAGTTCTACTACATCATGGACTATCTTAAATACGTTAGTTATCACCCAAAAATGACGATGATTAGATGCTAACATTTTGCAGGACGATGTTCTTCGCCTTGTTGACGTCTCCGATGAGATCCGACGATCTCGAAAGCAGCGAGCGAGAGAACTGGAGTATGAAAGAGAATACCAATTCGACTATGAACGGGATAGCCACCGACACAGCCACCCTCGCTGGGACGAGGTAACGGAACGTGAGACGTTTTATGATACTCGCCCACCCCGAGGCTACCTCCGTTAAGTCTGCTTTTTTACTGGCGTTCTCATTCATGGTCACATTTTGAAGGGCAGCAGAGGTTTTCTTTTTCGAGTAATGGATACCTTCCCCCCCCTAAGCAACTACAGACATGTACGGGTGTCGTGAATGATGTTTCATATTGGGCAACCATTGGTTGTACGAATTTACGAAATCAATCATATACAGCGGATGAAACGATATGAGTTAGTATGGGATTGAATGGATGTATGTAGATGCTTGGTTGATACACATAATTACGACTTATGACAAGAAATAAATAACGACAAGTTTTTCACTAAGCACATTCATATTTTCCCGTGAAGATGCTCCTTTGGAGGCAGAAGCGCAAGAAGAAGTACCTAGTTGTGATTGAGGGGTTGCCTGTTGGGACCAGTGACCTCATCATGGTCTTCGGACATCCCGTCCCGCAGCCTACCCCTCCATCGAGGAGCAGGCATTCTACAAGACCCGCGTCTAACTAGCCGAATCGCAGACTTGACAAAGTAACAATGAATGATAAGTTTCAACTCTATGAACTCATGAGAGTTGATTCTGACCAAATAGTGCCCAGCGGTCCTCCATAATCCTTTTTTTTCTGGCATGCACAGATGCCGGGTGGTGAACGAGTAATAGGTGTTCGAATACGAACTCACCGATATTTGACCCCGGGACTGCGAGATGTCATTGCCCTGTTATCCCAGCCAAATCGAATATCCGATACGACCTTGAGTTCCTTGATTCGAACCTATAAGACTTCTGTGGTAGGGCCTGCGTGTAGACCTTCAACGGCTGCGAGATTGGGCCGTCTGGCTCTTCTCGCAAGCGAGGATAGGGATCCATTGTTTGGTAGGTAGTCAGGGCTCAGGTAGGAGAAACGCTGAATAGAGATTTGTTGTCATTATTGTGTTGGTGTTTTGCATTGCCCCCAAGGTTAAGCATATACAAGTATCATTGTACGATGCATACGACTCAAAGTGAGAGCATGTGGTCTAACGCTGAACATACTTGTATGGCAACTAACACAAGATTGTAGTGTATTTACTTAAGCTGGAGCCGGACTCTTGTGTCAATCATATCTGTTACTTACTACTTAGTACCTGAATAAGAAAGGGTTTTCATCTAGAAAGGACATGCAAGTCTTATAGATGTAAGGTAGTTTGAATACAAAGCATGCTCCACTGGCAATGTGACATCTCTCCAGAGCACGAGGAAGAAGCTGAAAGCCTGACTAATCCTTTCAACAGCAGAGGAGAGAGCAAAGGAAACCATGCGAGACATCGTAAGACTCCATCAGTTCACTCAGTTTAAAGCTGTCCATCAGTTGTGTAGAATGAGCCCTTTGCCCAACGAGCCCACTTCAACCCGCGATCTAAGTAGTTGTTTGATTCGCAAGTAGCTGCCCGTGGACCTTGTGTTCCCCGATGCTGTGAAGGGCACAGACGTTTCCAAACATGGAAACTGTGAGATTTATTACGGAGTTATAAACCAAAATCAGTGTACCTTACTGTGAGAACAAGCTGACAGGCAATAAGACAGACTGGGCTATCGTAAAAAGGCTCGGTTAGGAGAAGTAGATATTGTCAGTGCTCTCATGATATAATGGCCGTGTACTAAAGTAGTGGGAGCAGGGCCCAAGCAACGAAATTTCCCCAGACTGGACCCCTGGAAACACATAGAAGATCCAAGTCCCAAGACGAAGCGAATATGGAACATGAGCCCTAAGTCTGACAAGTCAGCTTCATTTTCATAGCGGCCCAAAATGCATCCGCCGTGGAACTGGATACAAATAAATGAGTTACCCAGCGTGGCAAGGCTGGCGGCGTTGGTTGCCGTGGAAGAGTGGAACTATTTACTTGGAAAAGAAATCAACACAAACAGAAGAATAGAGAAACTAAGAAAGTAAAAGGGGATTGATCAGATTATGTGTGAGCTAAGTGAAGTGATAATTTCAAATATAAAATGAATATCTTTAGCAGGAACTATTCGAAGGGATGGGTTTGTGCCATGCTTAGGTACCTAGTACCTAACTTTAAACTCCCACCAAAAGGTACCTTAGTAGCCAGGGCCCTGAATGGCATTTGTTTTGGATGCCTGGACTCAAGTACCATAAGGTTCACATGGAAGCCCTCCTTGCTTGCTATTAATTGGCACTGTGCCAACCTAAGCATGGTGTGAATTTCTTCACCGCGGGGCACTGTATAAAGGGCGTACAGTGCGACTGTTGACCTATCAAGAGATTAAGCGAAGTTTTCCCTGCCTCCCGGTGTAAGTAATGAAAGCAGGTTTGAATTATGCGTTCATAGTGGAGGTTCTGCGCATTGGAACTAACAGCAGTCCAGAGTAAACCTGAATCAAGACAAGCGACAGCGTGCATAAGCACCTAAGGTCACGAGACCCCAAAAGCAGCCCAGAGTCTCATGTATTGTCTCATAGTAAACAAAACAAAACGAAACCTGCAACAGATATATTCGCACCAGCCAGGAAAGTATGATGGCGTTTGCCGCAAGGTCCCGCAGCAAAAGAAGGGCATGGCCGTCGGTGTGGAGGGGTCCTATCGCATGCACACCTCAAGGTAGGGAAAGGTATTGGATGTAGGTACAGTAGTCACCGTGAGGCTCAGGGCTGTGACGCATCAGCAGAGAGACTACATACAGGTGATGAATCACAGCATCCTCAGTCCTGCTCGTCGCTGTGATTCTCACTCTCATCGACAACTTCAGCCTGAGTTAACATATGCCTGCATCTCTTGTAATTGCATTCCCCTAAACATCAAATCAGGCACCAAACGTTGCTGCTCGTTGGTGAAAAACAGCCGCCTCTCACAGATCACGTCTGCACAGTGCCACACAGTGTGGGAATAAGTGGCGGTAGCAACTTTGAAGGCAGGAGCGGGCTGCCGATTGTCATCATCAAACCTTTGATCCAAGAGGTTAACTTTTTCCTCTCCTGTAACATCAAGCCGTAGAATATCAACACTTCTTTTGTCTAAAGCCAGGACTTTCTCTTCCTTCACCACCGCTTTGCTAGCAATCAAGCATCTCAAAGCCCATCAAATCAAACAAGGCCCCGTTCCATCGGTTTTTGGCCCGCCAAGCTCGTTCGACCCTCATACCCGTTCTTTTCCTCTCCTGGCCTGAGCCCCCCGTCGTGGGAAAAAACCCCCGCCTCTCCGCCTCATCCAGACCAGTTCTCTCTTCCATCTGCCAAACTTATCGACACGTGCGCCTAACCAAAGGCTCTATTTTTTCCTTCTTCTTTTTCATTCTCACACATTTACGCCTTTCTGCGCCTCACTCATTATTGATACCTCCCGAAACCGCATGACGAGCCGTTGTTAAAATCGCAAAAATGTCGAGCTCAGAGATAAACCAGGTGCTCGCAAATTCGCTGTCGCCTGGTCAGTATCCCACACCTCCCCGCCGATTGAAACTTTAGCAGTCATCTGCGAGTGAAGCGAACCAATGCTAACTTTTTTCAGATGCGAACCTGCGAAATGCTGCCGAGCAGCAACTTACCCAAGCCGCTGAGAGCAACTTTGTATGGCACCCCTGATCCTCCCTCCGCTCGAATGACGACTGACGATTCACTAGCCCCTATACCTCGCAACCCTCGTACAAGAGTTAGCAAACGACTCTGCCGATGGCTCCATCAGAGCTGCTGCCGGTATCGCCCTCAAGAACGCCTTCACAACCCGAGACTTTGCTCGTCATCAGGAATTGCAAGCGAAATGGCTCCAGCAAACAGACGACGAGACCAAGAACAGGGTCAAAGAGCTCACCCTCCAGACTCTTAACTCTTCCAACACCCAGGCTGGCACTGCCGCCGCCCAGGTTATTTCTTCTATTGCCGCTATCGAGTTGCCCCGTGGCCAGTGGAACGATCTGCTACCTTTCCTTGTCAAGAATGTGAGCGAGGGTGCCGATCACCAGAAGCAGTCTTCTTTGACCACCATTGGCTACATCTGTGAGAGCCAAGATGCTGAACTGCGCGGGGCTTTGGTAACACACTCAAATGCTATTCTGACTGCTGTTGTGCAAGGAGCCCGAAAGGAGGAAACAAACATCGAGGTTCGCCTCGCTGCCATCACTGCCCTTGGTGACTCGCTCGAATTCGTCGGCAACAACTTTAAGCACGAGGGAGAGCGAAACTACATTATGCAGGTCGTCTGCGAGGCCACACAAGCCGACGACTCAAGGATACAACAGGGCGCCTTTGGCTGCCTCAACCGAATCATGGCCCTTTACTACGAGAACATGCGATTCTATATGGAGAAGGCTTTGTTTGGTCTTACCATTCTTGGCATGAAGTCCGATGACGAGGATGTCGCGAAGCTGGCTGTTGAGTTCTGGAGTACCGTTTGCGAGGAGGAGATCTCCATCGAGGACGACAACGCCCAAGTAGAAAGCTCTGACCAGATGCGCCCTTTCTACAACTTTGCCCGCGTTGCTGCCAACGAAGTCGTACCGGTTCTCCTACTTCTCCTCACCAAGCAGGACGAGGACGCCACCGACGACGAGTACAACCTGTCCCGCGCTGCTTACCAGTGTCTGCAGCTGTACGCACAGGCCGTTGGTGCTACGATCATCACACCCGTCCTTCAGTTTGTTGAGGGCAACCTACGTCACGAGGACTGGCATAACCGAGATGCTGCTGTATCTGCTTTCGGCGCTATCATGGAGGGTCCTGACGAGAAGGTCCTGGACCCTATCGTCAAGCAGGCCCTGCCTATCCTCATTACGATGATGGACGACCAGTCCCTGCATGTTAAGGACTCGACTGCGTATGCCCTGGGCAGAATCACCGAGGCATGCTCCGAGGCCATTGACCCTCAGACGCAACTCCCTACTCTGATCGAGTCGCTCTTCAAGGGGCTTCTCAGCAGCGCTAAGATGGCACCCTCATGCTGTTGGGCCCTTATGAACTTGGCTGAGCGTTTTGCCGGTGATCTCGGTGCTTCTTCTAACGCTATCACCCCCCACTTCAACAATGCCGTTAGCTCTCTGCTGGACGTTACTGCTCGCACAGAAACTGAGACCTCAGTGCGAACCGCTGCTTATGAGGTTCTCAACGTTTTTGTGCAGAACGCTGCTTCCGAAAGCTTGCAGCCAGTAGCCTCTCTCTCTGATGTAATCATCAAGAGACTCGAAGAGACTGTTCCTCTCCAGAACCAGGTCGTAAGTGTCGAGGACAAGATCACTCTCGAGGAGATGCAGAACAGCCTGTGCACTGTCCTCCAGGCTATCATCTCTCGCCTTGACAAGGAGATCATTCCTCAGGGTGATCGTATCATGCAAATCCTTCTTCAGATTCTCAACAGCGTCGGTGGAAAGTCTAGCGTTCCTGATGCCGTTTTCGCTACCATCAGCGCTCTTTCCACTGCTATGGAGGAGGATTTCGTCAAGTACATGGATGCCTTTGCCCCATTCCTGTACAACGCCCTCGGAAACCAGGACGAGCCCAGTCTCTGCTCCATGGCTATTGGTCTGGTCAGCGACATTACTCGATCTCTGGGCGAGCGCAGCCAGCCTTACTGCGATAACTTCATGAACTACCTCCTCAACAACCTCAGGGTATGTATCCCCCTATTTGTGTGTCTTGGCATATCTAACCAACCGCAGAGTACCACTCTGGCCAACCAATTCAAGCCTGCTATCCTACAATGCTTTGGCGACATTGCTGGTGCCATCGGTGGCCACTTCGAGACATATTTGTCCGTAGTTGCCCAGGTTCTCGAGCAAGCTACAACTGTTACCGCTTCTCCCGAGGGCCCCTACGAGATGTACGACTATGTCGTCTCCCTCCGTGAGGGTATTATGGATGCCTGGGGCGGAATTATTGGCGCCATGAAGGTCAGCGAGAAGAGTATGTCGTCCTGTCCGTCTGGTATGCAATCGTTACTGACACGTCATAGCACAAGCTCTCCAGCAATACGTCCCTCTCATCTTCAACGCCCTCAGCATTATCGCTAGTGATATGAACCGAAGCGAATCCTTGATGCGGGCTTCCATGGGCGTTATTGGGTAAGCTGTCCTAGCCCAGGAATTTGCATGAACTATGCTAACTCAAATAGTGACCTTGCTGATGCCTATCCCGACGGCCAACTGGTTGACGCTTTCCGCCAAGACTGGCTCACCGTTATGATCAAGGAGACCAAGACCAACCGGGAATTCCAGCCCCGAACCATCGAGACCGCCCGCTGGGCCCGCGAGCAGGTTAAACGCCAACTGGGTGGCTCTCAGGCCGTCATGGCCAACTGATCTGGCACTCAGATTCTTATCTCCAATCCAAGGCGAGCGATCGCCACCACAAATAAATACTCCCCTCCCCCTCCCCAGTCATAGCACGATCCCCACGACCCTTGCATGTATATAGACCCCATACGACACTGCAGTAATTCAAATACCCCCTTATGACGCTTCACCTGGCATATTCATCGCTACATGATGTATTCATTCCCCTATCATATCACTACACTACACTACACTACACAGTCCATTTTGTTTTATTTATTCAGATGCAATGATGGAATAGAGAAGTCATGTATGCCCTGCGAGGATGAAAAGCGGCGGCGGCCCAAAATTCATGTAGAGGATAGGGAGTCAAGGCGGCCGGTTTATTACTCTTTTTTGTTCTGCTTTTGCAGTCCTGGTTGTCGCGGCCCATGGAGTCTGTCTTGGATTCCCTTTCAAGTGTTAGGGAAGGCTTAGGACGGCGTACTCGGATAAACCACCTTTGTGGAACATGGTGGGATTCTTGAGGAGTGGTTTGAAAATTCGGAGTGTGTAGGGGACCCTTAGAGTTGAGCGAAGACACGTTGAAATGAAACCTTCGGACTAGAGTATCAAGTGAGCTCGTCTGTAGCTGTCGATAGTCAAACAATCGTTGGCTCTCGCACAATTAATGAACCCACGGACACTTGCAAGACGTTGTGATATGCCATCTTGTGCTGATGAATCCAAGCCAGACGTAGCAATTACCACAAATGAAATGAAGGCTTGGCATCTGAATCTGTTTGTCAGGTGGTTTCAAGTCACGGTGGAATTCACGCTTCATATGTCGGATCATACGAAGGTTCATGGTCAAGAAATAAGATGACAGGCTTATGTCCCTTCTTGCCTATAAAGACGAGAACAGTCTAATCTATATGTGAGAAATAATCCCCATGGTTTTCAACTTCATCTAATATACCCTATAAAAACTGTGTCATTTTACTGCCCGTGTGTCCAACGTAGGAATGGAGACGATCACTGCACTGCAACATTTCCTTCTTGCAACCATTAAATCCCATACAGAGCCAGGAGAAATCACTTATAGCCTTCGAACAAGTTACTTGCCGGTATCCATTCCTGAGATCCGTACGAATAATAGTTCAACTCGTCCAAGAAGCCGTCTGGAGGAGGGTCCAGTGGCTCACTAGTGATATCCATAGCTGTTGGGATGCTGGTTCCTAACGAGGCGTTACCCTGCGGTGCTATCGGATAAGCTTGGACAGCACTGGGGTTAAAGCCCCCCAGGACCATGTCAAAGTCGGCAATGTTATCAGGAGTCATGTAAAGCTGAGGTGGAACAAAAGCCTGCTGCTGTGGTATTACCGATAGCGGTAGCTGGTGAGGATGGGAATGAATCTGTAGCTGTTGTTGGATTTGAGGTTGAGAAAAATGAGAGGGCAAAATATGAGTCGTAGATATGGGCACAGAGATATCGTTTGGAGATGGAGATTGCAGAGCAATGGAACTGGAAGCAAGGGAATTGCTTTGTTGAGTGTACAAGGACGAAGCAGGCGAAGCGCCAGATGATATCGGCGTGGTCGCAGGAAGGTGAGTCAATGGATTGTGGATTGGGTCTCTGCCATCCGCCATTCCATTTTCGCTTTTAAATGAACTGTCAGGATCTCGAGCAAAGCGTCTCAAGGCATCGACCCAACGAGAAGCAAGAGGCCACACCTCTTTGCATTCCATCAGAATATCCAGGCTGCGTAGAAACATCTTTTGCCCGTCGCATGTGACGTTCAGAACTAGATAAGACGAAGAGGGTCAGTACCTAGGGTATATATCGTTTCCAGTCAGGATAACCTACAGTTCGGATAGCGCCAAAGATATATAGAAAAAAGGCCGCAAGTGTAGACACAAAAGGCGGCCATTTGTGCACCGACGCTTTCATCCGAGGAGCGTCCAAGAAACTGGGCGTCGATTTGCTCGTAAAGTCTCAGAACGTTGTTGAAAAGATCGCAGGCTATCTGGTTAAAGACCAACGGCCTCTGGTGATATTCGGGTGATGAAGTCAGGATACTACAGCATATTAGACCTGGCATTATGTGTTGCTTGTTTAAACTTACCACTCCAAGTATGGGCGACGGAGAACGATATTGCAAAGTCGCGGAATCATTGTGACCCCGAGATATGCCTGGGTTGTTAGTGGCTTGGTTTGTTATAAAAGGGGCCGCATACCAGATCCTGTGCTTTGGCCTTGTACTCAGAAAGCCATGCCCTACTCCATTGATGGCTGGGAGGCAAGCTTGTTTCCCACTGATCAAGCTTTGTCGAGACTTTGACAAACTTGCTCTCTGGGTCCCATGGACAAGAGTATGGGGTATAGTTGACTGCATCCCGTGTGACAACGCCCCAGAATCCGTGTGCTTGAATAAGAGTACCGAAAAGAGACCGGTTTGGATCGTTGACCAGGCTTGGGTCTTTGATAGCACACGGGGTACCTTCAAGAGCAGCTCGCGAAGGAGGTTCTCGCCCATTGGCGAAGTCTTCTTCATCACAAGGTAGTAGGGCATCGATATCCGAAGCAGCGAGGGAGATGGGCGAGGAAGAGCATGAGTGTAGCTGATCCTGACTATGTAACATCCACTGGGTACATTATGTTCAGCTGTATCACTAACGTTTGTTTATTTGGCATGACTTACCAGAGTCCTCCGTGCGGATTCGCGAAGAATGATGGCATCAGGCGTAGGGTTCGAAGTCTCATAAGCATAAGTCTGTTCCAAATGCAGCTTGATTGCAGACGCAATTCGAAGAGCAAGGCCCATGCTCGTCTATCAAGTCAGTAATGAGGTGGTTGTTCAGGTCTTCCACACGTACATGGCTCTCATCTTTGAGTCCATTCCCTTGCTGTGCGATACTAAGAAGATAAAAGGCCTGGCAGTTCTCCAGTGTATTTTTGGTCGGAAATATTTCGCCGAGTGCAATTTCTGTCGCCCGCTTCATAAAAAACTCGGATGCCTTGATGCCGGATCCATACCGTCTTGATAGAGGACGACTGAGGCGAGCTGAAATACTAAGAATACTGACAACGAGAAAGACGCTAACCGACGTGCGATCTTTGAGAATACGCCGGGGAAATTGTTCTTTAGGAATGAAACCGAGTTGAAAGTAATGCCGCGTGAACTGGTTTATGCCATCAACGATTTCTGGTAGCGGAGGCAGATTTTCCCATCCGGTACTCAGTGTGCCTGGGGCAAGACTCTCACATTGTAATCGTCCCAGATCCTGTCGAGTTGTCTTGGCAGTCCTTTTGCGAGCAACACGCGGACGCCGTCGCTCTCGATCAATATCTCGTTGGCCTCGTGGCCTGAAGACGCTATTGTACAGAGATTCAGACAAAGTTTCAGAGATACGATATGGGAAGCCTACCATTCGCCTTCCCTGACCCCTGCGTCTAAGCAGGCCTTACAGAGAGGCTGGCCACGGTCGCGGACACATTTACTCCTCATTTGCCGGCATCTGTGGCATAGGGTCAGCAAACGATTACGCAACGGACACGAGACAGGCTCATCTACCGGCAGCAAGCAATTGAAGCTCGTCGTTTGACGACTGGGACGGAGGATTCCATGTTTCCACTCCGGCAAGTGGTGAGATACGAAGAAACGAGGGCAGTCACTAGAGGTCTAGTGGACAACAAGCGTGCTGGTGCTGGTGCCGCAACAAGCAAGGTTACAAAGAGACGATCAAACGACAAAATGCGCTGTACTCTAAACGCCAATGGCTGATGCTGATGATGATGCCGATGTCGTTGCGTACCAATCGTAGCCCGTATCCTGGTGAAACTGAACTGAACCCTTGTGCCTTGTATACTGTATTAGATTGCAATCGATTTAGTGTCAACGAGCTTCTAGAATCGAGACCGATTACCTTGGTAGGGGGCGGCAGCGGGAGATTGGCTACAGGGCGAAAAGTACTGCCCGTAGACAGCCCAGCCCAGCCCAGGTAGTGGTACGCGACGCCGTCCAGCCAACAAAAAGCAATGCGTAGCAGCAGGTCAGCACGAAGCGGTGCGCTTCACTTGCACCACTCAAAGCAGTACACAGAAGTCGCTTAGGTAGGTAGGTAGGAATACTCTGCATGAGATCCGTGGAAGTACAAGCGCAAGCGCTTAATGAGTAGAAGAGGAGAAGGTAATAAGGTGTGCCTGTCTAGGATAGGAAGATCAGGTGAGGAGGCGATTGGCTCATAAGACGAGGGTGTTAAGGGGATTAAACTGCCCGATCAGATTGACCGCGCGCAGCTGATCGGCAAGGAAGCGTTGATCTGCAGTTTAGTATGTAGTTGGCACCAGGTCCGTGGCACTCGGGTCGTGGCTTTATAAGATAGTAGTTTGTAGTTCAGTCAGCTCCTCCTTGAGTGCTGCTCAGTACAAGCTGGGTCGAGGAGACCAGAAACAAGCACAAGGGGGAGGCTTAGAACGACCTCGACGAGCGGGCATCACAACGAAAATGGCCAAGACGACCTGTGTGCGTGGGAGCGTCTGGAACTCTGCGTGATGTCTATATGTTAGCGTTACTTGGCCACGCGAATCCGACGATCAAATATCCAGAGGAAGACCAGCAGCGCAAAACTCGAAATGTTAGGTATGCATGACAATAGTCAATGTAGAAACGAGGCAGAGGCCCCGGGGATGATAGGGGTGGGTGCCTGACTGGTAGGGGCTTTACCTTCTACATAAGCAACACCTGCGTGTTGAGAATGAGTGAAGAGGAGACATTCTTGCTTGTTTGCTTGCTTGCTTCTGCAACCGCGCCTAAGAGGCCTCGAAGCAGTTACGAGACGAATGGATCGACCGTGATTGGTCGAGGAACGGCAATGCAAGGGGCAGGGATGGCGGGAGGTGCCGATTCTACTAGGATGATATTTAGATCATGACCATGGTTTGAGCTTTGGGCAATTCGCTCGCTATCCATGAAGCTTGGGATGTGCTTTGACGCAAATCAATAGTAAGCCTAGGCACTAGGTAGGTGCAGAAGCTTAGAGAAGGGCTGAAAACTCAACATTGCTCAAGATATTGTATTGGACTCGTGTAGTGCGTATCATCCACCAGAAACCTCAGCAATCGTTTCTATTTTTCAACCCCCCACGCGCTTTGCTGTTGGAATCTTGTTGCTGTAGGCGAATGGTACGCGCTTTGATACGCAGCAGCCAATAATACTTCCCCACAGCTCATCCTGGAGCCTTCAAGCACAGTAAAGACGTCTATTCTCCGGTCGACTTCCTTGGCCTGGTCCAAGGGACTCACGGTCACTCACCTACCGAAACAAGCCGAGATGAGCATAGTATCGCTTCGTATTATGTATTGGTTGGTCGTTGATCCTCTACGTCGATGAGTTCCAAACACACCAGAGTTGCCACACAACTTCTTGCCAAGATTTGCAGTGATTGAATCGACGATTTGCGATTGCGTTACATCGGTGATGGGCATTTGATCAAGACACTGATCCATGGACCATTCATGCTGGCATCGACCTAGCATCGGCTGAGCTTAAGCCTGACGCTAAAATAACTAAGTTAGTCTTGCAAGAGCTGAAGCCTTCAGAGGATTTCAATCCCTCCTCCAAATCATGCAGCCCCAGTCAAGTTCAGTGGGCATAATCCATCCAATCTTGCCGCGAGTGCCTGGAAATGATTTCTCGACGGAGTAGCGGGTCCATCACAAGCGTGGGCCACACTTGGAGAAGAACATGGTGCCACCAGGTATGCATGTTGACGGCCAGGCATTCTATCTCCCATTAAAGCCGGGACTATCCCTAGTTGAATCCTGATTCCCATCAACTACCGGACTCGAAACATGATCAGCATGTTCTTCTCCCGGCCAGATCCCGCGGCCTCCTCCCAACCCTCGGCGCCAGGGGGATATTCGACCCTTTGTAAAAATGGTTCGAACCAGCCATAGACGGGATAAGAAGTGCCGGTGGTTTTATCCAAAGCCGACGCTGTGATATCTACAAAATTCACTGTCAAGACGGCTCGCTTTGGTCCACTTTGATCGGACAGGTCCTGAAATATAAGCCAGTGTGGGGTGTTTGATTATTTGGCCCTTCTTTGATTTGATGACATACGACTCAACATGGGCAGCATGGTCAACAAAATTACCTCAGCTTTCAATTTCCAGACACTGGCATTTATAATTTGGTGTTACTGAATCAGTATGAGGACACCCGAAGCTGGGGCGAGCCGAATGAACCGATACCAACGAACAAGGGAGGAACCATCCAATCTGATATTATAGCAATATTCGGCTTACTCACCCCGGAAAGCGTTTACAAGGGAATAAGCACGGAGGACAGCTTTAAGAACACCATCTTTCCTAGCAGCTGTCATCAGGAATAAGTGACATCCGAATCACCGGTCATTTAATGTCGATACCAAACTTGTAGCTACAGGCGAATGCCAGACTACCCGATCAATGCATGTACTTTCTTGAAATATCTAAAGCTACCTAATTACTTTGTACGTAAATGTTGAATATTAAGTATATGTTTTTCGGGGTGGTTTTGGTCTCTTGTGGCTTCGTAAGCTACCTTATCCATACAACTTCTTTGTGTCACTTCATGTGGTCATGGCACAGAACTCGGTAGGCTTTAAATATTAGACAAGGTTTGACATAACTCTTGAAATATGATATATCTTAATTATTATTATACAAGCCTGATAAGAAAGTGATGGACGTATTACTTACTATTCTCAAGGCTTAAAAAGTGATTCAGTATCCCCTGCAATGAGAAAACAATCATTATGATTAGTAACATGCGTGAAGTTAGTTGGGGCATTGGACAGATGCCGAGTTCGTGGACGAGTCTACCATACGAAAAAGGCAAGAAGGCTACCGTGATGTCTATAATACGATCCTTGCCATGGTGCTTTTTGATATGCGAGCCTATAAACAGCCTAAAACATGACTCAATACCCATATACTTGTACTCTCTCATATACCTAGTCCATGGCGGAAGATGAGTTCCCATTCGGGTAGCAGATCAACTGGAAATCTCTTGACGCACGAGCCAAACCGGAAGCATTAATATTGACGTGTTTCTAATTTATCGGCCGTTTGGTAATAATTGGGGCTGGAGAAAGTCTGAGTTTTTAGTATTACCGCGTATATAAGGCATCAAGTTTATCGAGGTGGTATCTCCGAGAACTAAACTCTGCAATCATTTCCCCCTCTCAATATGCTTCCAGGACATCAGCATCTATAGTTGGTACCTACTTCATTACTCCTTCTCTCGGAGTTAGGCGCATTGCCGTGGTGGGGGTGAGAAAGTCAGTAAAGTCGCCATGCTGAGACAGCAGGGGAAAGTTTTGGGAGGACCGGCAGCACGTCAACAAGTTCTCAACCAGACTGCAACGATATTCAGTAGACTGGCCGTTCTCAGCTTTGAACCTCGGAAGTCGCACTCAAGCTAATTCTATTGATATGTGACTTTAACAGCATTCCGTTGGACTAACGCCAATCCGTCTGTAACTGAACGCATGCTTTAATGTTATGATAGAAAGTATCTATCTCTAATGCCTGAGGACATTAGTATCCTTATATAGGCATGGAAATCGACAGTTCTCAAGCTGAATTAAGAGACGGAAACAGAGAATAACATATCTATGAGTAAGGCAGGGAGCAGTCAGGAGATGGGAGGTGAATCTTGCGGAAGCCAATCGTGTGTCGAGACTATTGGCTTATACTTAAAAGTGCGAGAAGCTGTAATAAAAGAATATTTTTTTCTCTTGTAAAGCATATATTCCTGAAATATGACTACCTGAATAGAAGGTAGATAAATGTATGTGACCCGTCTGATATCACAGGTGCTTGATCTAGAATGCTATAATGTTTCGCACAGCTTTACAATGAGATCTAGTTTCATTCATTGCACTCATATAGGAACATAGTTCAGTCCAGGTTTAGCATCTGATCTCCAATGTTCCCTCTTTCCTTTGACTACGTTGCTGGAGACAAAAGGGAAGTGGATGTCTTCAATCATACCATACATATTGTTCCTGTGAACGCTTTTGGCAATGGGATTCGAGATTCATGAAATCTGATAAAATACAGATCCTGGCTGCCACTTTGCACTCCAATGTTGCTCCATTTGCCTTCATACTCGCGAAACTCGTCGCCAACCATATGAAAGTTGTCATACAGTCTAATCCAGATATGGCGATCCACGAGAGAAACTCGACCTGATATGAAGAAGAGACGAATAAGAGCCAAGAAACTCCATTATGATATAAAAGAAGCCTCCGAATCACATCTGCTCATTCAAAATACCCACTCTAGGTATTTTACTGAATGATAATGAAGTCTGGATGAAAGCAAGCCGTAGCCAATAACATCATGAGAGTGGAGCCTTGTGAGACCGTGCCGGAAGCATCATTTGACACTGTAAAACACTGTACGCGACTCGTTCTTGTTGCCCCTGTCAGTAAGTGCGATCGGTTCTTGTTCAGTTATTTTATGAGGAGGAATGCGTCGCAGGTGGAAAGTCTGCTTTCCCATCAAAGGCTTTGGTCAGCCGTCTCCAATGGCGAAATTGCACTGGCATATACTTCTATGACTCAGTGGAGAAGCTTTCCAAGATGTATCCAAGTCACAGGCTAAATTTTTCTCCTCACACTTTCGTCACCTCATCATCAACTTCCTCCCTTCAGGTATCATCACAACCGTGACCAACCCTGGACACTCACAAATTGACTTTATTCCAACAAGTCAAACCTGATCAATTCAAACCCACCGAATTCAGTCACAATGTCTGCTTTGACGGAAATCACGCTTCCAAGCTTTCAAAAGATTGCTTCAGGCAAAGTGCGCGACCTGTTTGAGCTGCCAGACAAGAACACTCTTCTCTTTGTGGCCTCCGACCGTGTCTCTGCGTATGATGCTGTTCTGAAGAACCCAATCCCTGACAAGGGCAAGATTTTGACCCTTGTCTCGGCTCATTGGTTCCACGTTTTAACAGAGCGCATTCCTGGCCTCCGCACCCATTTCATCAGTCTCGATATTCCCGAGGGCGTTACTCCCGAAGAAGCAAAGACCATCAAGGACCGTTCGATGGTCGTGAAGAAGCTTTCTGTCATCAAGATCGAATCAATTGTGTACGTTCCCCATCCCAATGCAAAAGTACCACACGAAACCCTCCCTTGACCATGAAATAGATCTTCAGTTTCGTAATCTATAGGGACATTTAAGCACTAACAGTCTTATAGGCGAGGTTACCTGACAGGCTCCGCTTTCAAGGAGTACAAGCAGAAGGGAACCGTTCATGGTATCACCGTCGAGCCTGGTATGGAGGAGGCCCAAAAGTTCAAGCAGCCTCTTTGGACTCCAAGCACCAAGGCTGATGCTGGAGAACACGACGAGAACATCCACCCTGATGACGCTTGGAAGGAGGTTGGTGATCGTGAGACTGCAGACCGTGTGAAGGAACTCTCCCTCAAGATCTACGAGGAGGCTGCCAAGTATGCCGAAGAGCGAGGCATTCTCTTGGCTGACACCAAGTTTGAATTTGCCAAGGATGGAGAAGGAAACATCTACCTCGTTGATGAGGTTCTGACCCCTGATTCTTCTCGATTCTGGCCAGCAGCCGGCTACATGCCTGGCCGCGACCAGGACAGCTTTGACAAGCAATTCATCCGCAACTGGCTCACCAAGGAAGGACTAAAGGGCAAGGAGGGCGTGGAGCTACCCCAGGACATCGTTCAGGCTACAGCAGACCGCTACCGAGAGGCCTTCCTCATGTTGACTGGTAAGAAGTTCGAGGATGCTGTTAGCCAGTAGATGGCAGATACAAAAGTGCACCAAGACAAGCTACCAAATCATCATCGCTCGGACTGAAGGTTGATTTCTAGCATGATATCAAAGCTACAGCCACCTACATTCCTATCTATGATGGCTGGCTGTTTTCTACCTCTATCTTTGAAATTTCTGACACTTGTTTGAATTTGTCCATCATAAGTTTGATCATCCTTTTCCACTGCCATTCAGGCTAAGATATCGCTTTGTGGATTCTACAATTATTAGCATTGGCACTTGGTCATTAATGCAATAACCATCAACATACCTCCGAAGCCCCTCGGTAACAGTTCTTGGATCTTGCGAATATACCATTCGGAACCATCCCGGCTCGATAGAATGCTCCTCGCGGGGGTGCAGAAACACACCCATCTTATGCAACCTTTTCGCGAGAGCAAATTCCTGATTCGACTCTCCGTCTAAGTCGGATGGAAGGTATGGGGATAGATCAACCCAAATAAAGAACCCTGCGTTACTGCCGGGTAAGTACTTAATACCCATGTCACGGAGCTGGGACGTAATATGGCGATGTGCTTGGGCAAGTTTTAGCCTTGAAGAGTCAATAAAAGCTCGACACCACGCTCGATCCTCAAGCATGGCACTTCCGATAGCCAAGCTAGCTCCAGAGGGGTTGTTGAATCTCAAGGCCGCTTCGATAGCCCGGAGGACAGGTTGGCTGTGAGTGATTATGGCACCAAGCCGAAGACCAGCCGCACCGAAGTCTTTGCTAAGACCATAAGTGACATGAAGAAGTTCTGGATTTATAAGACCAGTCGGATCAATTGAAAGTATGGAGGTGAAAGGGACTGCCGGCTCATCTGTGTCGAAAACGGAGCAGGCGTATATTTCATCGCTCAGCAGATGCAGTCTATGTTTCTGGCAGAAGTGCATTATGCTGATGAGCGTCGACTTATGATAACAGCGTCCTGAAATTGTTTAGGTCTTTGGGCAGAGAAGTACCAACAGTTTCTTACCAAGGGGGTTATGGGGATTAACGATCAGCACCATCTTGACATTGACCCCGGCCTTTCGAGAGCGCAACAACGCCTCCTCGAACTTTTCGACAATATCATCTTGGAACGCTTCTTCTATCTCATTGTTGGAGTATACGACTCTAACTTGGGACATGTTACCGAAATCAAGCTCGAATCGGCCATATACAGGCCTGCTGGTCAAGACGCCATCACCGGGATCCGCGACTCCCCAGGCGAGAATATCATGCATTGCGGTAGCAGCACCAACGCAACGAATCATATCAGGAGTTACAGGGCTATAAGGTTGAAGGTATTCGTTGAGGTGGGCCGCTAATGCTTTGGGGAATCGAGAACCCCCTGCATGGCTACCTCGATAGAGGAAATCTGTTAGGGAGATGGTGACCTGTGTGCGTGAGTTTTGAGCTGTTCCGCTTTTCCGGATTGGCGAATACGCTCATACATTCTTGTCTGTGAACTCCTTCAATTCACTCGTCACCAAAGCCTAGTATGGTCAGCATTCTGAAGCTCTAGCTAAAAAGCTCGCGTACATGCTCAGCTGTGCCAAATGATATCAAACCATCTGGGTTATGATCTGCATCATAGTCTCCTCTCGGTGCGAACCTCCATGGGAGATCTAGGCCACCAACTGCCTCTGTGGCTCGTTGTGATAGGAAACCCATCTTTGCATCGGAGAAATCGAGATTTATCAACATGATGAAGACTTCACTTGAGAGATATTGTCTTGCAATAGCGGGGCTGATGAGTCAGCTGTTCATGGTAAGATCTACAATACTTGCCCAGACTGACTCTTGCTGGCCTTTGGAGGTATTATAAAATTTAGATATTTGGTTAATGGTAGGAGGTTGTTGATTGACACACGAAGTGAGATATTGGCTGTGAGATAAGGATATTTCTTGTATGGTCCCCACTGGCGTTGCCAGCCAGGGCATATTATATACGTATTTCTAATAAGTAAAAGCGGTATTGACGAAGAACCTTGATGGGTAGGTAAGGTAATTGAGCAAAACTGGTCCACGATCATATGTATACGCGCTTCAGGTTCTTTTGAGTGAGCTCGCGTTGTTTAATACCAGAAATGGATAGATGGTGAACAGGGCATTGAGAACGCCTCAAAGAGCAAGAAAACTTCGGACCCGGAACCGAGGTGCCACAATGATCACGAAGGCAGTCTAAAAGTCTATTAAGCGTACCGTGGATTGACATGAGTCTCTTTGTCGTTTTGAGTAGAGCTTCTAGATTTCCTTGCCTCCTGTTCCGCTGACGTCGTGTGTAACGGGCCGGGCCGGGCATCAGCCCCTCTGGCTGAAATGCGGCAACACTGGCCCTCTTAGGTACTAAGGTACAAATAGCTCCAGTCTCTTTTGGAGCGGTAAAGAATCCGTCACCAATACTAATGAATGTCAACTGAACTGCGGAGAAAATGCCGATAGATGGCGAAATTGCCATATTGCGGTTGAAATGTCGGTGTTGGCCATCGTCCCGTGTCCAGTTCTTTCGCGTGTCGCGCTTACCCATGAGACGCGTGCCACTTTTGACGTGTGACAAACTCTAACTAAATAACTCCTTTCACCAAATCTCGTCTCCTAGACATGACATGACACTTTATACCCCAACATACCTTCGGGATGTTACAACCACAACACGTCATCGAAATCAGTGATGACGATGATGACGACGCGCCTGAGATTGAAGAAAGTGAATGGAAGAAGAAGCTGTTCGCGTCCCTGAATGCCATCCAGGCAGAACCTAGACTTGTATCCTTCAGGAGCTACCACGAGTTCGTCAACCCGGGTCTCAAAATTGGAGGGCAGCAAATAATACCGCTACCTCTAACAGATCACTATGCCGATATGATCAAAGAGCTGAGCCACTCGGTTCAGGGTACTGACAACAAGGCCCAGAATGTCTGGGAGCTTGACCGTGCGCAATTCGACTTGATCAATCCGGCCTGGCGGTCATGTCTGGACAGGATAGCACAGGACATCACTAAGGAACTCGATGTACAAAATGCCTTGCTGAGTCCAAAAAAGTTGACACTTCAAGGGCCGGGCCCTATAGTCGAGCAAGACCAAAGCCTTGAGCAATCTGATCGCATTGTTGGCCACATTTCTATTTGTCTGCCCTCTGAGCACCACGGTGGAGATATTGGTGTATCTCTTGGTGGAAGACGGAAAACCGTGTCAACTGCAGCTTCGTCGGCTCTCGCCCTGTCCGCCATTGGCTGGATTTCTTCTGCACACAGCCTGGCCACCGAACTGGTCTCCGGATATCGGCTCACTATCTCGTACATAGTCCATCGGTTCAACGATGGGAAAAGAAATGCCCCTTCATCATACGTGGGAAGCGGCCGCCTGGAAGAAGTTCTTCAGATGTGGCAGCGCCGACATTTTGGCACCAAAAAGATACTGTATAAATTAGACGACGAGAAAGGCACCGGGGTTTTATCTCTCCGAGAAGCAAGGGGCCGGGACAAGGCAGTGTGCGAAGCTTTGTCCGCGGCTTGTTCAGAAGCCGGGCTTTACATGCTGTTCGCTGAAATCACGCACGAGGTCACCGATAATCTCATTCAAAAAACCGTGGAAAGTTCAATTAACGGACTCTTCACGCCTGAAGGTCAATTCTTGGCGGAAAACAAAGAGCTTGATGCAGAAAACGAGGTATTGGGCTTTGATGTTGATCGGCAATGGGACCTTGAACCTGCCAGTGATGATGATGAAGGCATGAGTAATGAACATCTCATGGAAGAACACGAAATGACTCGCCGCTGGCACGACCATGCAGTCCTTCTGATACCTAAAGAAGGATTGCTGGACATGGTGAGACCAGATGATATTCGCAACACCTCTCCGCGGCCAGGACGACATACTCGAGATCACAAGACCCATCATCCAGGCGTAGCACCTGTTGTTGCAATGGTTGTCGACGACTTGGAGAAGAATCCTGCGGGTACAATCAAGGTGGCAGAAAACATAATTGACAAGCTTTGCGACTCTGGGACTGACACGCAAGTGCTATGCACGTGCATCAACCCCATCGTGAACTGGTGCTTGAGGTCTGGTTATATGCCACTATATACAACGGCTTTCCGAAAAACACCCATCACTGTGGTGCATGTACTTGCAGAGTATCTTGCAGGGAAGTATGAAGGCTCAGAAGATTCTATCGATTGGAAAGAATGGTAAGTTTCTTGCGTCTAAAGCCATGTATTACCTAACCTCAATACAGGCTTGATGGTATCACAAAGGAGCCCATTGTGGGACTTGGATTGTTGTATCGCGACTTTTCGCGTATTATTCTGGCTGTCAGTCCACCCGTATGGAAATCTTTTGATAAATGGTCGGAGACAATAATGGACGAGAAGCTCAACACAGAGCTCAATTGGGAGTATAAGGATCTGGAAATGATTCTCGACTTAATGCGGCTCCGTTGCGACAGCACTCAATGGATTGTCAACAGGTTCGTCTATCTTCTTTTGCCGACCGTTACTTACTCGAGTCGATTTGATACTTATGCGATGTTTTTAGGCTACTTCCTAGAGTTGCGTCTGGGCGTCACAGCGAGAGCCATAGCGCGCTTTTGATTCAACTTCTATTCCACATTTACCAGTTCAGAAATGAACCACCATTTAAACATGCAAAGGAAATGTTCAAAAGCATTATAAATCACAGCGATGGTGAACTCAACTTCTCACCCCTTAGGCTTGAGCCTGCGGAAGAAGGGTGGTTGGTCGAGACTCCAAGACACGATTTAATCTGCGGGCCTTTTGTTCGGCTCATCACTGAGTGCCACGCTATAGGAGCATTCGTAGAAGCTTCTAAGGTAGTTGAAGAGACGTTTTCTCTCTTTGTGGCAGAGAAAGCGAGATGGATTTTCGTCAAAGATCCATTCGGCGTTATCTTCTGCTTGATAACCCCCCTCATTCGTTTGTCCGCAGACGGCCCTTGGAGAAAAATACCAGCTTTGTTGGATACTCTTGAGCTTCTTGTGCGCAAAATCATCCGCCTAGACTTGCCCAGACAATCTCAGGCTGGCGGCGGATTGGTTTTCCGAGAGCGAGGTTGTGGGTTCTGTGGGGATTGTGCTGCACTGGATCGATTCCTGACTTCGCCTGAGACGACTGTTTGGGAATTCAACGCACCAAAGACTCGAAGGTTGCATATCGAGCATGCTATCGGGGTAGAAAAGTCGCTCCAAGCCTTAAGGATATTGGATCAGACAACTGGCACGTGTGAGAAACTCACAGTGACCAAGACCGGGGCCCAGGCTGAACCTGACTTGCGAAGCTGGGTTTTCAACTACAATGGCTTAGAGAGAGTTCTTCAACCTCTCCGAGGTGACTTCATGAAGAAGGCACTTGGTGAGAAACGATACCGTGAGATCATCTTGCTGGCGGGAGTAAGTCCATACGGGCCGCGACCGAATTCACCTGAAGTGAGAAGGCCACCCACTGCGGAAGAATCACACCCTAACAAACGACTTTGCATCTCCGGGATGGGCGGCATAGACCAGGGTTTGCCGCACAATCAAAGAGAAGATCGAGCAGCAAGTCAAACAGAAGCGGGCAACGTTTAGCACTGCGAACAAACAGTTTCTTGTTATTATTTGTTTGCTACGTTTGATCTCATTAACAAGAGGGAGGGTCACTGCATTCATCTGTGCCTTACAGTAACTGTTAATTCAACGTTATACAAGGATAGTGTGATGGCCATTTCCAACGGGTGTCCTCTGATCTCCGCAATAGGATGGGTGTCGACACTTCGGTACGCAATACATGGGAGCTTGATGCCTCGAAGTTCAATCTCGTGAGCAAGAAGTGGTTTGAGGACTTTAGCCCAAGGATACTGCGCGATACGACCAAAGGACTCTGTATATTCGAACTACGAGCCAATCCTTACAAGCTTCTCCCCCACGAACCCGGATCGTTCTTCCAAACCCATGGTGATTCAGAAAAGGAACAAGACATGATCAGAACTCTAGTCGTCTGTCTTCCCTCGCAACACGAGGGTGGTGACGTTTGCTTGTCCTTTGGATCTCAAAAACGGCGTCTTTCAACAGCCGAAAACCCCGAATTTGACCTCACAACCATATCCTGGTATTCAGATGTGACACATGAAGTCGAGCGACTGACATCTGGATATCGACTCGTCCTCACCTACAAATTTCTTTGCAACGGGGGAAGATAAGCTATCGGCCTCCACTTTCTCCCAGCACAGCAGGGCTCTCAAATCCATGCTGATTAAGTTTCGGACTGACTTCCCTTCAATCGGTAAACTTCTTTACCTCTTAGATCACCTTTACACAAAGCCAAGCTTGTGTTTGAGAGATCTTAAAAGCCACGATCGATCCGTTGGACGTTGTTTGAACGAGATCTGCTCAGAAGCTGGCTTCTACTTCATGCTGGGACAGACAACGCGTTCTCAAGTTGACTGTGATGGATGCCAAGATCAAACTACCTTAGGATTCTGTACAATCTGAACGGTGATCAACTTTCTCCAAAACTCGTTCTCGACTTTGAAGACTTCTTGGGCTACGGCATTGGGAGGAAAGCCGCCCACAGCGAGGATGACGGGAGTTTGTTTGGTAAGGCGGAAGTGGCGCGCGTGTTTCGTTTCTACAAGACGAGATACAATCTCAGATTTTATGGAAGCTCGGCCACTATTGTTTCATTCTCAGGATCTTCAAAAAGCACAGG